TTTCTTCCAAAGAACTCAAGGCAGCTTACATAATTCTCTTCCTTCGCTCAATCTTATCCTCACAAACTATCTCATGAACAGTTTTCTATTTGAATGTCTGTCAGTGAACTATTCTCTGTTTAAAGTGGTCCTCAGTTCAAATCACTGTCCAATCCAAGTCTGATATTATAATAAATAACTGTAAGATGCTTCAAGAAGTTTAAGGAGCTTTGCGGTCGCCCATCAGCATTTACCACCTGGCCAAAAATGGAGTGGGCACACAGACCACCTCTTCACAGGCTTTCCACAACATTGAAATGTATTGCATTCTCTTTAAATTATACTAATTTAAATTCTAAACTTCTAAATTTGCACCTACGTATATAAATTACTATATGGCATTTTTGTACAGGCCTGTGTCCTGGTGTGTGTGTCACAGTGGTAATTAATGGATTGTTTAAACCAGAAACTGTCTTGCACTCATAGTTTCCACGTTTTATTAAGGAATACCCTATCTAGGAATATCCTCTCCCTGGTTTGTTTCATGGAATGTGAATCTCGTACTTTTGGGTTGTTTATGGGTTAAGCAACCCAGAGTTAACCTATGGACTGTTGTTCAACCTGTAAACAGCCCAGAGCTTCTGGGTTTGCACATCACATAATTAAATTAATTGCTGATTAAAAGCAGAAAAGGTTCCCATGCTGTTCACAAGCCCCACTTAGCCCTACAAATCCTGGGTTAGGGAACCCAGAATATGCTGCTGTGATGTACAAATCAAGTCATTGTCTACTTTTACCCACCCACACACACACACACACCTGGCAAAACATTATCTATTTTCTCTGTGTGCTTGTGCATGTGTGCATGCATATGCAATGTATAACTGGCTATTTTATATAGCCTTCATTTAAAAACAAGGCCTTCCCACTCCTAAATTTTGAAAAGCAGCATTAAAATCAGAAACACCCAAATATTCTTCAGGGTAAAATCATATATCAGTGTGCAAGCACATGGAGACTTTTCTGCTTATGATCAAGAAGAGCTTTCCTCCTGCCTTCTACCAAAAACAGTTCATAAAATAGAAGTGTAGAATTGGAAGGAGTCATGAAGGCCACCAGGTCCAACCCCCTGCTATTGCAGGACACCAAAGTTATCAGCTTTTAACTGATTGAATGTGTTCTTTACAAACAAAAGGCAAAATCCACACATATCAGTAACAGTAAACCTCAACATTTGTCTTCTAGATAAAGCATGTTGAGGCTTCCCTCAAAGAATGGTGACCATTCTGGCTTGGTGAGGGTACTTGTTGAAATGCTCCCTCGAGATGTCTAGCTTTCCACACTGAACCGCAGTTCACAGGTTTCACTGACAGTAGCTCTGAAACAGGTCCAAGAGGCAAACTGATGGAACATGGAAGATCTGTAATCAGATCTCTCAAGCCCAAATGGAATTGTAAAGTAAACCTTAGAATGTGAATGTTCACTTTGTAAAATCTGTAAAAATTACAATCTGAAAATTTTCAATTCAAAAATTCCCACTGTTTTTCAAGGATACACAAATAGATACATAGACACTCCCACTGCATTACTAATTACAAAAGTAGTACTTCCCTTGCACTGGAGCTGTCACCTTTTAATTTGGCAAATTATGGCCAATAAGACATCTGACACTTTAGGGGGTCAAAGAAATTATACATCTAGTCACATCAAGTTCATTTAAATTATTATATACTGAGAAAATAGGTCACTACTGCCCGAGGGACATCATCATCATCAAAGCTGTCAGGGCAGTTTACAAAAGGTATGAAAACAATAAAAAACAATAGATAAAAAACAAAGAAGAGTTAAAGGATTAATTTAAAATAGCTTCTCCTAGTTGCCACCCTCTAAGCCTTTCAAGGGGGTGACATCTGGAGGAAGCCCCCAGAAGCTGAGCATAGAGCTGAGAAATGTCAGTTTTTAGAATGGGTATGAGGACAAAACATGCATTTCTGCAGAAGAAATTCCCCTTATTAGTTCTGTCTCCTTAAAAAGTGGTGCTGCTCTTGGCTCAGCAGATGTTTTATGAAAGATCTAGGACTGGATCTAAAAGCTCCCTTCTTCCAGTCGAAGGAGTCTTCTAATGTAAGCAGCTCTCTCATCAGATCCAACCCATAATCCTGAAATAAAAGGCAGAACATGTTTCTGTTTATTGAATTATCGATTTCTATACAACCTAATAGCCCATCTGTCATTCATTCAGTCTATGCATGACCTATAGCCAAAACTCTCAGGCTGACATACATAATAAAACCAATGATAAAACAGATTATTCTTTTAATCTGACCAACAGCCTTTTAAAATTAATGCAGGAAAGGGCTCATTACTTCTTCCTCTTCTTCTTCTTCTTATTATTATTATTATTATTATTATTCAATAATGAGGGATATTATGTTCCATCAGCGAGCAACAAGGACAGTAATGTTTTAATTTAATTTGTTATTAAATATTTCCACCAGCAATGTTCATCCTGGCCAGTACATTTTAGTGTAGTTGTGTCCAAATCTATGTACTGTAATGAAGACTCAGACAATACCCTCATTTAAGCTGCTGTCCATGTGAGGATCTATTTGCCTAATTACCCATCCAGGGCATTGCTTGCTGTATAATATAAAAATTGCTAACATGGCTTGTTTAAGGGGAAGCAGGCCTCAAATAATTGAACAGGCCCTGGGTTATCTGAGGGTTGCTTCTCTCTCCAACAAGCCATGCTGACCAGCTGTTGATGACATGACAATACACATCAGGGTAGATGGATAAGCTGGCATGTGCTGGCACATGATATAGCTTAAACAAGCCACAGATGATTGGGGTCCTTTCTTCTGCCTCCATCTTCCTGAGGTATCCCTACAGCAGGACCAATCTTGTCTGTTCTCCCTGCTGAACTCGTGAGCCCTTCCACAGTCACAGCAATGTTATTCCTCTTTCACACTTTTTTTTTCCTTGGAAATCAGGAAAAGTGATTCCCAACTTGACGACTGGTGACAGCCCCTTCAAAGTGCCAATGCAGTGCCTTGGAGGGGCTGTCATTTGTTCATCACACTTGTTTAAAAGAAAAAATGCATTCCAAATGTGCACAATATTTTGGTTTATTTTTAGGTTTAGTTAGACTTGAGCAAGTCCATACTTTGCACATTTTCAAAGTTTCATGCATTCACAGTACATGACTTCCCTGTGCAAAGTTCATGGGGTGTTTATTATAAAAGTACAGCAGGTACCCTTCATGGGCATTAACCCAGAAAAGCTGCCTAGAGTGTTATTTTTGGCTTTGTTTTGTTTTAACAGTTGTCAAAAGGCAAGCTGTCAAGAGACTAAAGTCACACTTGCCCTTTGCTCATGTAGAGACCTCTTTACACTAGAGCTCCCCCTTCATGAAAAGATCTTCATGATTTTTTTGTCTGTTTGATCCTCTGAGTTTCCTCTCATTACACCCTTTTCCATGATTCCAGGTATTCAGAAGGTGAGAAAGTCTCTCTCTCTCTCTCTCTCTCTCTCTCACACACACACACACACACACACTTTTGTGGGTATTGTCAGCTTTAACAGCCAGCTATAGATCCTTTTAAAAAGGAGAGGCTAAAGTGCTCCCTATGGTTTCTTGGAAGGCATCTTGCCTGAAAATCTTTTGGGAACTTGTAGGAGGAAAGTGGAGGCAGGAAGCCTGCATTCTATGACTGAAATTCTTTTCTGATCCTTCTCCTGAGTAAATCTGACAGTCATTTTTCTTATATGAAAAAAGTGAATAGCACGGAGTCTAAAAGCAAGCAACACTTGGTTTTAAATTGTTTTCCATAAGCAACCTATATAAAATTAAACCACAGAATTATTACAAGTGGGATTTGCCACAAATTTTTCAGTACAGAATGCTACTGTGCAGGATTCCAGAGAATTTTAGCTCTCCTTTCCCTTTTCAGTTTTCTGCCCCGCCACCCCCGGCAAGTTTAGTTGTCATTGCCTATTTGGGCCCCTCTCTGTATCCATGGCACTTTGGTTTTTTCCTACACTTTTTTTTTTTGCGGGGGGTACTTTGGAAAACTTTGCGGTTCCACAAGCCTGTGGATACCTCAATTTTGTGTGTGGATGGTGCTGTTTTGTTACATAAACAATGACACTCTTACCCTGCACATTAGAAGTACTTAAAATAGTCTATATGCTATGGACTTTCAAGGGACAACTTTGGGCAAAAGGTTTGTTGACCTGTTATCAAACTCTGGAGGACAAGAGACAGACAGCAATTCCCGCTGAATGGTCTTTACTAAAATACATAACCATCAACTAAAAAATAGTTATGAAAGCTTCAACAGTTGGAGGATATTCTTAGAATGAGTGACTGTGAGCAAAGTTACTGAAATCATATTTAAAATAGGATCACCTTTTTCCATAAACTGGGATAGCAAAGAGTGCGTAAGGCAAACCAGTGGATCTAATTTAGGATCACTATTAGTAATTTGCTTAACTCCTGCTTTGGAGACAACATCAGTGAGTTACTGGAGTCAGTAGAAATACTTCCCTTTTTCTTCTCAGATGAATTGGCCATGAACTTGACCTTCTGATGTCTACTTTCTTTTCCTTCTCATCACCGCTTTGCACTTAGTTAACATCAGGCAAGATCTATGCACAGTTTAATTGCAGCAGACAGCAGAATTATGTTTTAATTGACAGAAAGCTCCAATTAATCTTACACAGTATTTCTGGGAAGCTGCCTAGATGCTCAAAGTGATTTGGATCCCCACTTGAAACTTGAGATAGCCAATGAAAGTTCTGAAACAGAGAGGATGAGAGCAGGATGTATTCAAAGGATTTATCAGACTCAAATATCTAACATTCACCAGCAAGCAGCCTGCATTAGGAGAAGTCTGCCTGCAAAATCAAACCAACCCTGCATTGGTTTAAGGCCAAAAACATTGTACAGTACAATCCTAAACAAGATTACTCAGAAGCAGGTTTCACCGATGTCAATAAGATTTACACTTGAGTAAGTGCACTTAGAATTGAAGTATTAAAATGAACATTTATATCTGAATTGTAGGGCAATTTTAAAACCTGAAAATATTTCTCATTTAAACTGACAAACATAAATAATTGTTTAGGACAAAGAAATGTATGCATATTTCGTCCTCTGTGGTTCAGGAACTGAATTCCAAGTCCTTGAAAGGTTTTATTTGTTGCAAATGCTCCATTGGAGGGAGGAGGAACAACTTAAAGGAAATTATTCTGTAATTTGATTTGATTGATTTCTTAGCTCTATTGGTTTCTTGAAAAATGAAGTGTGGTCTAAGTATAAATTCTTCTGCAAATGGATGACAGACTCTCAATTTCATTATCCTCTAAATGAAATGACTCTGCTGAATTTTCCCATGCAAACAGGTGACTAAAGTGACTATTCAACTTTCAGCAAGTAAGAATTGTCTTTAGGTAACCAGGCTGAGAAATGCCTATGAATTAGAAATGACCCTCTAGAAAATTGCATGAGGCACATGTAGGGTTGATAATGTCATTGCTATTTGTGGGCTGATGGGCTAGTGAAATGTTTTGCCTGCTACTGACTTCCTCCACTTATTTTAAAACTGGCCAGTGCTTGCAGTTCTGAAAGGCAGAAAGAAACCCATGGGTAGAAAGCTTTTCCAATCATGCACTATTCTTGCTTTCAATACAGCTTTCAATTCAATAGTTAGAAAACTGACCCCTACAAGTTTTCTGTCTCCAAAATTCATAGCAGAGCATGAATTAACACAACTTATTAACCTTATTTGTGGTAGGTAAGACATCTTGTGTCTTTTGTATCTTGGCAAAAAACTATATCTCAGAAAAATTTCTGAGCTTTTTTTCACTGCTATGTACATCACTATGCATTTGGAAGAGGAGTATCAGACTAAAAGCAAAACTTACTTTCTGGAAGATTCATTGTGAATTTTTCCCACATTCCTGTGGAAAATAACTGTCTGGCCAGGGAAAAATATTTTGAGATAATATGAGGTTCATTATGAGATGCAATATGAGATCCTTCATAAATGGAAGGTATAGAAAAATAACATTTCCTCTTATAAAATAAAATAGTAGAATTCTGAGCCTATGGGTTCAAATAGTTCCAAAAAAGACCTTTTCTCTAGCAAAGAACAGTAATGCTCTATGCTTGGGAAATGAGAAAAAATAAATTCAATTTTTTAGACCACAGTAGTGATAACATTTTGAACTTAAGCAGTCCACATTCCTGATCACGGCTGGCAGGAACTTCTGGGAGTTGTGCTCACAAATTGTAGAGACCTACCTTCAAAACACTCACTGTACACTGTTGGTTGTACGTCATTATCAGCCTATTACCAAATCCAGAGTGTGTGAAGTGCAGCAATAATGCATTTGATGTGTTTCATAAATAAGTCTTCACTAGTTCTAGCTCGCTCTTGCCATCTCTGTGTTCAAAGTGATACCCTGCAATGGCTGTGCACTATTGTTTTATCTCAAACTGACATATATGAATGCTACTGAAGTCATGTGACATCTTAAATCACTATGAGATGCCAAATGCTTCCTGGTGCACGGTGCACACCTCAACATTTTTGAGGGGAAACAATGGTGCTGATATTTGGTGCCTGTTACCCACTTGAATGCAATCATTGCAGTCAAGCATGCATAATCTACCAAACCAGTCGCATGTTGTGATCTGCCAGATACTTGAAGATTCCCTGTTTTTGTAGCCCCCAGCAGCCTGCAAAAATAGGAGCTATTCCAAGCTGTTGATGAGCTACCATGCTTAACTGATGGGCAGAATTCATCTGGATAGCACAAGTTTTGTAGGCCTGATTTAAGAAGAACGCTGGGCAGCTACGAGTCTGCTGATAAGTTCAGAGGCATGAAGCAATTTTATCCAGGCCTCACTGATGCCACCAAATTGTAACCAAGGTGTGACAATTTGCTACAGTTCAACTCACAAGGAAAAGAAAATCATGAGAGGTATTCCACATTTAATGTTAGATCAATCTTTCAATTTTATATGCAAAGCCCAAGGCAAGTCTGCTTGTATATATTCCTCAAAATGACACATGCTGTCTCTACCAATTTTATTACAAATTTTGACCGCTCAAAAGGACATAGCATTATGTAGAACAATATGCTTTATACCTCCTGACTACTTTTAGAACAATGTAGTCCACAACAGCATGGAAGTTGAACACCCTTGTTTGAGAATATTAGCTATTATGCAAAGCCAAGCACTTTTAAGGCCCATTCGGTTCTGTGGGTATGATCAGTGTCAGCAGTGGGCAGGTCAGACATCTGAATAGTCTACCACCCTGTTCCCTCACCACAATAGCAGATAAATGCCCCTTGGAAGCCCTCAAGCAGAGCTTGAAAGCCAATGACCTCACTTTATTGGTCTCCAGTAGAATTTTGCTGTTATGTGCCATCAGGTCACCTTTGATTTATGGTATCCTAGGAATGAATGCCCTCCAGAGTGTCCTGTCCTTGACAGCCTTTTTTAGTTCTTATAAAATCAAGGCTGTGGCTTCCTTTGTAGAAGCAAGTCATCTCATTGTTCGTCTTTCTCTTCTTCTACTTTGACTTCCTTTGAATATGTAAGTTCCATAGTCACCACAACTAAATGCTAATGATAGACCTTTCCTCTGAAATAAGGGCATTGAACCTTCAAATCAGGAACTGAATATGGCAGACCTGAACCCTTAATCTAGTCCTCCAGGGCTTCCCAGACAACCAGACTTCTTTCCTCACCCCTTGATCACTAATGGATTGGGGACCTCTTGGCTTTGATGCAATTTTTCTCCATTCTGGGAGGTTGAAATGCCTTTCCTAACACTATGTTATTAGTAGTAAGAAATTTTAGCTAAAATGTGGTGGATTTATTTTGTATTTAGTCCCCACTCACCACTGGAATGAAAACTGGGAATGAATTTTGCCCTTGGACTAGGTAGGGTGCAATACACCTGCTCTTAAGTTATCTTCGCTAGTAACTATTTCTACTTCATGTGTCAATGAATTCTGTCAATTAATTACCAATCCTGAAATCCAGAGATGACTGAAAGGCTCATACTGATTCCCACTATCTTCCCTGCCACTGTGCAAATGTGAGGCTATGATTTCTTATGCATATTAGGAGCAGGAAATTTTGGTGCTTGTGCAAGAGTAGATTTCATAAATGGATTAAATAAACTCCCTGGAAGCCTTCTTTTCCTCTCTCAGATCTCAGGCTTATTAAGCGTGGTTGTGGTTATGAGCAGTGAGACTATTTTCCACATTCTCAAGGCCATTGTCTAATTCTTTAGAATATTTAGAAGTGAGTGTGAAGGCCTCCTGACAGTCATAGAATCATACAGTTGGAGGGCCTGGCGGACTCCCATGTCCAACCACTGGCTCAATGTAGGACTCAAGTCACTCATTCAGATTTCCACCAGGCCCGACTCTGCTTAGTTTCCAAGATTAGGCAGGATCAGGCACATCAGGCCCAGATCTCCAGGAGTCTTTAGTCTAAGAACCTACATGAGTGTCTTTTAGCCTTGCCTGCAGGATGGATAAATGCATGTGCTTAACTCTCCCACTGAAATCAACAGGGCTAATAGCATTATCCTTGATGGGATCCTAATGGTGATTTAGAAGTATCCCCTTAACAATGCATGTTTGCATTACCTTTCAGAATCACTTGGAATAGACCTTGGAAAAAAGGTCAGCATTCCCAGAGACATCATGCTGGAAGAACTGTCGGTGCTTAGTAACCGAGGGGCAAGGCTATTCAAGATGCGTCAAAGGAGGTCTGACAAGTACACATATGAAAACCTTCACTTTTTATCCAGCAAGCCAAGAAACGTGAGTATGGTCCCTTTTTATAACAATTTGTGACCAATCAGGTGGGATAAAGCTGGCCAAACATGTGCTGTAAGTCACGAGCTGTCCAGGTGCTTGACAGCCCCCTCCTTTATCGTATTGCCAAGGAAGTCAGCAAAAAGGAACCTCTGGTGGGCCCCCTTTATTGGTGAATTCTTCTAACTCTGTGGATTAGACGTGCCAGCCTGAAGCTGTCTCTACCACATACTACTTCCACTGCACTAATGAGCTTGGTGTCAGGGAAGTTTTTTCTTACGTGTTCTAAATGCAAAGAAAGAGGTGACTTTGGTTCCACTCACACTAGGGAGGGAGGAGAAAAGCCTCCTTGTGCGTTCTTGGTAAGGATCCCTTGCCCTGCCTTCATGCCTGTAATTCATTTTTTTTAAATGCAGCTATAGGCTACGTATCAAGCAACTGGTTTGGTCCTTTGATCTCCACAGGGGGTTGCAGAAACCTTGTGAACGGGCACACTTTTGTTTAGGTGTGAGTCTCAGGGAGGATCAACAACTTGGCTATGCCTTGAAGCAGTTGACAGGCATGCCACGTGTGTGGAGAGGTATGAGGAGGTATCACATTTCCCCTTGTTACAAATAATTTTCTTGGGGAAGTCAGAAATGTAGAAAGGATATAACAGAAGCTGAAACAAACTTTGGAGAGGGGGACAGGAAAGAACTGTATGCCAAAGGTAAGAAACAGATTACATTTATTTTAGCATAACAAAACAATTTTATTTGTTTATTTATTTATTTAGCACTTTTATATACCATCTCATAGCCCCATGGCTCTCTAAATGGTACACACACACCACACAAACACACACACACACACAGAACCACAGTTTCTTTTCAACCATGCTTTGGAGGGTTCATTTTTGCTATTTTACTAAGATAAAAGACTAGTGCATGTGCAAACACACATGCACAAACACACACACACACCAAGGGAGAGAGAACAATAAAGAGAACGCTTTTAGCAGTGCGCATTACATTCAATTTAATTTCATTATGTCTAAGTTAATAAACCTTAAAAAACTAAATGGAAACATATTAGAACATTGCAATTTTAAGAGGCTTGGCATTACTGAAGGCATTTGGAGAGAAAGACTCTCAAGGGAATAATCAGGTCTGTCTGCCATCATCATGCAACAGCCAGAAGTACTGCATGTCTAAATATTAGATATGAAACAGATACTATTTGGACTTTCCTTTAGGATACTGGAAAATGTGCTAAAGTTGCCCAATTGTTTTTAGCATGCAAGTAGAGGAGGTGAGGGCTAACAGAGAAGGGAAGAGGCCAGCAGGAGTTCAGCAATAATAGAAAGGGCAGAATCCAACCTGTTTCCCTTCCCCAGTGGGAGGTTTTCATCAGTGACAAGGAGAAGCATGTGATTTTCATTGATCTTGCCTTCTCCCCACAACTTTTATTACTAGCCATTGTGTTCTGGAGGGTTGTAGGACTTTCTGGGACAGATCTGAGGGGTGCAGGTCAGAAGGGAAAACCAGTGAAAATTGTGTCCCCATTTTGTTGATGAAAACTTTCTGTTGTTAGAAAGAAGCTAATTCTGTTCTGTCCAAATTAAGAATGTTGAAGCACAAAAATGAAAAGGCAGGCGTGAACAAAATAAAGCACAAGAGATAGGAAGGAATAAGTCAGAAATATTACAGTGTAACAAAAGCAATAGAGAAAATATGTATATTATTATTCTTAAATGTGTATGAAGCATTATTCTTAAAAATAAATTACTTATTAATTTAGAATATTTTTATACTGTTCATCAGCTGAACAGTTCTCAGAAATCATAGAATCATAGAATAGTAGGATTGCAAGGGGCCAGAAGGCCATTGGGTCCAACCCCCTGCTGGTGCAGGACACCAAGTTACACCATCCCCATTCAGATGACTGTCCAGATGTTTTCTCAATGTCTCTAGCGAGGAAGATCCCACAATTTCCATATTGTAATAGGGGCAATAGTTTTTATTGTCATACTGCTCTGGCAGTGAGGACATTCTTCCAGGTTTCTTTTAACTCAAGCTTGTTATTCCATGCCCTGCACTCTGGAATGAAGGAGAAGAGATCCTGTCCTTTCTCTCTGCGACAGCCTTTCAAGTACTTATAGAGTGCTATCATATCACCCCTCAGTCTTCTCTTCTTGAGACTGAATATGCCTAGTTTTCTCCATCTTTCCTCATAGGGCTTTGCCTCCAGTCCCTTAATCACCCTTTTTGCCCTCCTCTGTATCCTTTCTAGCTCTTCTGCATCTTTTAAAAATGTAGTGCCCAGAACTGGACACAGTACTCCAGGTGAGGTCTGACTAGTGCTGAGTACAATGGGAATAGTCCTTCACGTGTTTTGGAAGTGATGGTTCTGTTAGTGTAGGCCAAAGCAGCATTTCCCCTTTTTGCAGCTGCATCACATTGTTGGCTCAGATTTAACTTGTGATCTACAACAACCCCAAGATCCTTCTCCTTTGCAATATCGTTGAGCCAAGTATTCTTCATCCTGTAGTAGTGCATTTGGTTTGTTTTTCCAATGTGAAGGACTTGACATTTGTCCCTATTGAATTTGATTCTTTTGTTCTCTGCCCAGCATTCTAACCCATCGAGATTATGCTGTATCTTATCTCTGTCTTCCGGGATATTTTCAGTTCCATCCAGCTTTGTGTCATCTACAAATTTAATTATCTTTCCTTGTACTTCTTCATCTAAATCATTAAGAAAAATGTTGAAGAGTACCACTTCCAGGACAGAACCCTGAGGCACCCCACCTATCACCCCTCCCCAATTTGAGAATGTGCCATTGATGAGCACTCTTTGAGTCCAATTTTGCAGCCAATCCTGGATCCACCTAATGGCTGCACTATCTAGGGCTTCCTGTACTATTCTGGAGGGTTCCCCAACCCTCCAGAACAGCTTTCCAGATGGTTGCAAAGGAACACAAATCAGTGCAAATTGGCTGCCCATTCCTCCAGTGGGAACATCACATGAGTATTCCATCCACAGGACCTCCAGATGTAGCCTTATGGACAGAAAACATACAATAAAATCTGCTGTAAACTAAGCAAACAAAAATACCCTTCTTGGACAGAATGGAGAGAGAGAAATTAAAGAGAAATAATACATACTCAAGAGTGTGTGTGTGGGTGTGGGTGTGGACAGATAGGGATACGATCTACCAAGTTCTAGGATCTAGAAGGAACTCCCAAGAAACTCAGTGGTGCAGTGGAAGAGAAATGTTGTTGGATACAGATTTGGGACATTTTTCAGAGCAGTAGCAATGGTATCAGCCCCTCAAAGTCCAGAGATCTGGCAAACCTTTTGACAAGTAAATTAGGCAATAATGCTTTCAGATTTTATTGTTCTTTGTGATCATTAGCAGAGACCGAGTTCTTTTTTCCTATTTCCTATTTCACTTTAATAGTTTAGTTAGTAACATTTCTTTCCAAAATTGTTTGCATTTAAAATTAAAAGCAAAGGGTCGTATTTCAGGTACCTGAATATCTTTTGTTAAAGCTCAATGTATTTTCTACTGCATTAAACCTATGCAGGCTGAGTTCAGTGTAGCTTACTCCCAGGTAACATGCATGGGACTGTAGTCACACTGAGCCTAGTTCAGTTTTATGCTATGCACTGTTGCTCTCCCCATGTGTGCATTGCCATGGTAAGCTCCTGAACTTCAAATTTATCATGACACCACTGAAGAAGCACGGCCCAATCTTTCACTGTTGGTTGAAATGCACTGATGTGGTGTAGCTTACACTTTTCATTGCCAGATATATGGGAAGTGATCATCACTCATGAATGGCAAAGTACCAAGTTATTCAGGTCAGTTCAAACAAATGCCAGTAAAAACATCACTGCATTCCACAGAGACAAAGGCTTTGCTTTGCTGCCTTTTTTAGTTGGAAGCTATTTTAGAAAACTAGCTGAATGTTCTGTTCATAACTTTTATATTTTCCCTTCTTATTCACCATTTTTACTCTAATTCCATGTTACAACAATCTGCTCTACAGCAGGGATTCTAAGCCTGGGACATAAGGAGAGTTTCTCAGCTATGAGTGAACAAAAACGGTTCCTTGTTGAGATCTGCTGTTTTTCAACTCTCTGCCTTTCTTCACTGTACTTAAGACCTTTTCATTTCAATGTCATGGCTAAAATAAGGTTTTATTTTAGAGAGCTCTAATTCTATGTTAAAGAAACAATGATTAAGGCTTGGGATGCAGGCTTGGAACTAATGACCCAGCAGAAAGGGTGGATAACTCCAGCCTGTCATTAACCTTCATGAACTGGTCTGTTTTAAGCTTGTTATTACGACTGCACATTGAAGTGGTGTTGAGGGAATTCTTTATGGATACTGTGTAGGAAGGATAAAGCAAATGGAATAAATACACAGGTGTCCAGCTAAGGTGCTTAGGAGTACCAGAGGAAAAGGAGGAAAAGGTTCTTTTAATATGTGTATGGAAGTGGAATTTCAGACAGAGCATGCAGGGAGTAAAAAGATGTTGGCCCATCTTTCAGGTGCCATTCAGAACCTCTTGAAGGACATCCCCTGCCTGCTTCTAAGATAAGAACAATGACACATCAACTTCAATTCGTTTTCATGGTTCAGAAGCACCATTTGTTCTATAGCAGAACTACTGGGAAGAAACCCCTCAGAGCCCTCTCAGCTATGGAGCTATGAGGCAGCTCTCTGTCAAGAACTCTCAAATTCAAAGCATTCTCAATATGTCTCATAAATATTCTAACTGTGGCACATGGGGTATATAAATGCATCTCTCAACATTCTTTTCTTTTGCTCCATGCAACTCCAGGAAAGCTATTTGGAGCAGGGGAACTTTGGTTCACTGGGGTACAAGGAGCTGTGCCAATATTTTTTTTCTCTTCCAAAGCTCCAGAGGGACAATTTGCACCCTATATGGCAGAGGGAAGTTAGAATCCCCACTCTCCAGCTCCCTCACTCCCAAGCAAAGAAGAGAAAGACAAATGTGTTTATTTCACTTTCTTCCATCTTCAATTTCCTTAAAATCTGAAGTGATCTCCACCCTGTTTATGGATAAATATCTAGCTTTGGTAACTTCTTATCAAAAACCTGAATGAAATTAAATGCTCAGGCACTCCTAATCCATCAGGCCACCTGGGGCTTTTTTTAGCAAAAGAAAATGAAACTGAGAGTTGTACTAAAACATGTAATAAATGTAAGAGCAGTAATAATAATAAATCTCTCACATCACTTATAGTCTGTCCATAAGGGGCTGGAAGATCAATTTGTTTTTGATCCATAAGGGTGAGACATGTCTCTGATCAGGAAACTTTGATTTGCTCAGAGCACAGAAACTAAGTTGAAACCATTTTGTGACTCCCCCACTTCATCTGCCTAAGGCCCCCACCCCAACAGCCCTGCCTCAATTTCCCTCAGGGCTTTCCCTACAGGGTGTGCTTTGCTGAGTTCTAAGGGTTGCAGAAGATGGACACCTTCAAAATTAGGGAACTACAGTGGACTTGTGGTTCCTCTGTGGAGTAGAGGTTTCTGAAATAAAAGCCATTCATACTGGTTTTAAGGACAATGAGTACAGTGAGTTTTAAAATAAGGGCATCTCACAACCTTTGCTTCAGGGAAAAAGGATATTCTCATTTAGATAACTCATTTGCCTGGGGCACAAGAGATCTATCATTGCCAGCTTGCCAGATACTTTCTATTCTAGCTTTAGAAAGCTAGTTAATCTCTGTGGCATCTTCATTCCACATGTCTAAAGCAAGAATAATACTTCACCAGTTCATCAGGGTGCCATGGGAGGCTTAGGAGTGTGTGCTACTCAGATACCAAAGCTGGAAGGCAAAAAGCGGTCAGAAAACAATTAAGTTTAATCGGAACAGCTCCAATATCAGCTTTCCAGTTAGGAAAAGCCATGTCACCAGGACTCTGTTTGCATGTCTTTTGGCATCTCCATCCTGCACCTGATAGCTGTGCTATTTCTCCCCATTCAAATGCAGCGGAATGAGATCCTGCAGTGTGTTCCAGTGGAAGTTAGCGGCATGGAAGGTGGCCAGCAGCATGCACCAAGCACCCCTCCCAACACACCTGATCCACGGAGTCCACCAAACCCTGAAATCATCGCCCCAGGTAAGCCACCATGCAGCTTCTAAATCAGAACGGGCATCTTTCTTCAAAAATAAAAATCAGCAAAATCATCCAGGCAATTCCTCCACAGAACAAAGCAAACTTCTAGTTTTATGCCAAAATGGGCGGCACACAGATTCGTCACAGTAGTTTTAACATCTGTGAGATAACCAATGTCAAAAAGAAGCAAAGGTTTTGTAAGATATGGAGTTTCCAGACACATAAAACTGCATTTTTGTCTATAGTGCAGCTCATCGCTCTAACCTTGATGAAGTGGCAGAAGCACAGGATCCAGGTGGATGGATTGCCAAGGGGAAAGTGTGGTGCACACTTTTCTTTTTATAGGCAGGGTTCTGTGAATGCTGCGGCTATGGCTGCCCATGGTGGGAAACAGGAAAAGTCAAACATTTGAACTAGCCCTAGATGGGAGCTCCAGCACAGTGTTAAAACCTTGCCAGCAAAACAGTCACTGGGAGGGCTACAGTACATACCTTGTATGTGTGTTCAGATCCTGTCATCTCCACTCAGAGGAATTAGATAGCGGGTGATGGAAAAGACCATCAAAAGAGACTCGCAAAAGCAGTAGTCTTTGTCAAGATGGATTGGTGAATGATCTGATACAGTTTAAGGCAATTTCATATGTTTGCTCACTGAGGATATAAAAACAAAAGGCAAAAAAAGTTATTACAAAATTACACAGGTGTCCAGGACTGAGCAGAAGGAGACAAGTTGTTTGGCCATTGTTTACACTATTCTAGGCAAGAGTCAATGAGAAGCTAAAGCCATAGCTAAGTGTATTTCATGATTCTGAGACTGCACAATACCAGCACAAAAACAGAAACTGTGTGTATGTGTGTGTAAACAAACAGATGAAAGAAATATAGATAATATATATATGCAACAGCAGAACTTACAATGTGTGTTTTACCTAAGTATGGTGATAATTTCATGTTTTCAAAAATGGGGAATCAACCGTTGTTTCCTTGCTTTTTTTTACAATAGCATTTGGGAGTGTCTCAGGTATAACCTGAAACTATCTCTTGTAAAACCTAATTTAAATGTCTGTAGCCTCTTCCTTCTATAAACAAACTCCATAGCTTCAAGATCAACCATGCCTCTATTTTTTTTTCTTTGCACTTTACTATTTCACTTCTAAGAACTCAAAAGCTTGCATTTTTTGACGTTTGAGTTGGCCTAATAAAAGTATCACACCATTACGAACTTCAGAAGTCTTTTGGAATTTTACCAGAGGTAGAGACTCTGGTCCTCCAGAAGTTTTATTTATTTATTTAGGATATTTATATGCCGTCCTCTTGCAAAAGCCTCAGGATGGCTTACATTAATAGAATACAATAAATAAATTATTGACCCACTCTGGCTGCAGTTAAACTAGAATAGTAAAAAATACAGTATTAAAACTTATTAAATATTGATGAAATAAAAAGGTCTTAACCTGGCACCAAAAAACATATAATGACGTTTTGGCCTATAATTCTGCCCCCATCCCAGCCATTAACTTTTTTGGCTAGGGCTGATGAGACCAAAACATCTGGATGGCCACAAAGTCATGATTTAGAGCATTTGAAGTGCTTACACGTACACTATCTTATACATTATATGATGTCACATTTGGGGTAGACACAACAATTGAACCTGGGTCTCCACAGTAGAACTTCTTATTACTAACTTACAGCAGCTCTCAGACAAGATAAGTTACTTGGTCTTGTTTTGCTTCACAGGTCTTTCCCCACCTCCTTGACTCACAATGCAGAATAAATTGTGCCAAAGCAGCACATTGCCAATTATTATTTATTTTGCATAATTCATACTTCACCCTAGCTCTACTAAATATTGAATTGCTTAGATTTTTAAAGTCAAGTGGGGTCATGTAGAATTATCTTATTTGTGATAAGCTGTATAAATCCATAACTTTTCTGGTTGTTGCAGTATATAACAGACAATACCATTTAGACTGGATTGAGTCTTAATATACAAGTCTAAAGTTGAGTGAAAAAAGTGATTGAAGGAAATCCTTTATTATACCAGAATATCTGAGAAGACACTTTGGTTTTCTGAGAGCAAGAAATTTTTCAGCTTTGGTATAAATGCTTTTGCAGCAAAAACACTTATTTCTTTTATGCAAGAGCACTGAGCCACAAAGGAGTCTGTACATTTATTTGTTTCTTTGTTATTAGACTTCTTTGAAAGCTGCCCATTAGCTCCCTGTGGGGCTGTTACAATAAAGAAACAAGAGCTGGCTACTTTGTAGGAAACTGTTTATTTGATTTGTATCCTGCCCTATTAGCCATAAAGCTCACTTTATTTATAAAGTGAATATAGCCCTTTTCCTTACTTATGAAAATGGATTCTACATATTATTTCTGAACTGATTTATTTGATTAAGGCTGGAATCTAATGCACACTTTCCCGAGTGTAATCTCTGTTGAACATCATGGGAACTGAGTAAACATGTGTACAGTTGTGCTGCAATGTTGTGCACATTTTTCAAACCCTGGAACCATTAAAACCTTCATACTGATAAGCTGTTTCTGTGTCATTCAATATGTTAACTTATGTTTCCATTAAATATTCAGCTTGTGCTTATCTTAAATAGTTGGTAGCTAGATGTCTTCATCAACATTCAGTGCATGTTAAAATGCATCCTTTCACAGATCCATGCCCTGAATGCTATGTGGATTAAACCAATACTATTTTAGGGTACGGAATGATGTTCAGAGAAACAGGAGTCAGTACTGTTGCCTTTTTGCTGTTTTGTGGGGTGAGACCAACTCTTCAGTCCTCCAGCCTTTATTCACCAAACAGCTCATTCATGTTCTTGTGAACTGAACAATAATTTCCTTCCTCTTCATTTTTTCCTTCCGCCCATCCCATGCTTTATGCAAGATGTCAGTCATTTAAAGTTCCTTTTTCAAGTTCTTCCCATCTAATTAAACATTTGTATGGTATTTTAAAGCCCATGTTCAGTTTTGAATTTTAAAAACTGCCTGGCAAGAAGAGGAAAAGTTGACTTTTGTGATGTCACAACATGAGCCAATCAGCTTGTGTAAATTTGGCTTCAGGTGGAAACTAGCCAAACTAGTTTCTCCTAATCTGAGTCCTGGAGGGTAGATCACACATTCTACTTTAGGACTGTGTGTATGCTCATTTATGGTAGCTGGAGGAGATTAGCAGTTTGCTATACCTTTGTGTATTATATGAATGGGTGAACTGGCATAGCTGAACTTTTCAGTTCAGTATATGTCAAATATGTTTTCAATGTAAGTCAATTTTCTAATGCAGTAAAAAAAGAGATTTATAGATATGGGACAGTTTCTCCACTTAAACTCTTTAACCTTTTCTGTATGCTCCCACCTATTTTTGTCCTAATTATGCCACTGCTGAAATTCTGCCCTAGGGTACTTCCATATCAAAACTTTATTGCTAACTTTATTGCAAAATGAATGGGAGTTCCAGATGGTAATTCTCTCACTTGTAAGTCTCCCATGTTTTCCCACAATTTTTCTTCCCATATTTTTCTTTCCATAAAATAAATATGTTAAAGAGTAAATGGCAAAATAGCCAATGTCTTTTTACTGGTGTCATGTCTTCAAGAGCTCTCTTGTCTGGAAGCAGCCCCAAAGTTTTTCCAGACTTTTATTCACTGTCTTCAGAAGGGTTACTTCAGAAGTACTTTAATAGTTGCAGCACCACCATACAATTCCCATGAGATCTTAGAATGACTTATTTGGTTCAAAGAAGATGTGGAGTGAATGAATTCTGTGTTTGTTGCATGAGCAAAGAATGCTACTATAAAATACAAACATGCATATAATTTTTCTTCCAAAGGATATTCTGGACCACTGAAGACAATTCCTCCAGAGAGGTTCAACACTACATCTGTACCAAAATACTATCAGTCACCTTGGATAGAAGCCATCAGCAATGACCCAGAGCTGTTGGAGGCTTTATACCCTAAACTGTTCAAGCCAGAAGCAAGGCCAGAGCTCCCTAATTTTAAGAGCTTTAACAGGTAATTTTGAAAAGTAGCCATGGCTTATCAGTGGGAGAAAATAATAGCATGGAGGCAATTCTTGGGGCATCTTGGCTTGAATGAATTAACAGAATAGACATTTCTCTTGTCCATCTCCACGCTACAATTGTTAATGTCCTGTGGAAAGACTTATCAGAGGGTGTGAGGAAGGGCCTCTAAAAGTGTGGGATGAAGGACAATGGGTTGTAGAAGATGCAGGGAATTGGCAGAAATTGATAAAGGACTCACCAGTTTGGAACAATTCCCTCTTCAGCTTGCAGTCCCCCAAACTAACACTTTTTTCTGATAGGCTTTTAGGAAACAGCAAACATTTACTTATTTTAGAGTCCTAGTCTATTTACATGAATGTCCCATCCTGATGTTTCATCAGAAGTACTTCTTGCCACCCATCTTGGAATGGAGAGAACAGTTTGGATCATACACTGACCCAAACATTCTTCACACAGGACATGCCCCAGCCAAGTTTTTATCTAGCGTAAGGCCAATGAACCAAGCCAGCAAAAAATTTGCCATACATGCTATAAATGTTTAGTTGTTATTCCTTCCCTCATCAGTTTTCCATTTCTAATAAACTAATCTGGTTTATTAAAATTAAGCAGCTTTGAGGTTTAGGAGACAGAATTTGATCCCATGAAAATCTAAAATGTGTTCAATTACCACACATCTTCCTCACATTCAAAAGGCAGCTGGTGTGCTTGTTTACATTTATTTAAAAGATTCAGCTCTTTTAAAACAGCAAAAAGCTGGTTAAATTCTTATCAAAACTAAATCTAGGCATCACATACAAGGAACAGCATATGCTGAAGGTAAGATGATGAACTGGGAAAATAATGTTTACCCATTAAATGGTCCACTTTGGTTTCTAGCAGAAACTCGAGACATGTTGACACTGACGGGAAGTATTTTGGGAATATTTTCACAAAAAGCTGTGGTTCAAGCTTATTCATACTTGTTACAGTAATTTCATTTATTGAGACACTGTGTATGTGCTTTTTTAATGAATAGCTTGTATTTAATTTCAAATGACTAACACAACACACACAAAAAAGGTCCTCTCAGAACCTCAGAAAGGGTTCTACAGAAAACTGAAAACAGGAAACAGGCTCTGCGTGCCTTCAACAGCTTCTTAGTACTAGCATTTCCATTCTGCAAACAGGAGTATGAAAATGTATCTGTGAGTGCAGAAAACTCAGAGCAGGGATAGAAAACCTAGTGCCCTCCAGATATTTGGCCTATGACTTCCATAAATCCCAGCTAATCAGAGATTACGGGAATTGTCAATGTAAACATCAGGAAGACACTTGGTTGTATCCCACTTTAAGAGTACGTTTACTAACTGGAGGCTTAGCAAGGCTGTTCCTGGAATGGGGATAACCATAATCAGTTCCACCAGTGCTACTTATCAGTAGAGAGCTTGGATTCTGCCTGCAGCTGTCACCATCATCTCCGCACAGACTGTCAAAATATAGCAGGAGGGTTACCGTACAGGTCCTACTTCCAGATGACCCCAAATTCGCATGGTAGCCATTTCCCAGTTCTGTATGGGGGAAGTTGCCATGTTGGAACCATGTACGCCAGCTGGCTAAGATGAGGAAGAAGAAAGAGGAAACAAAATGCCATACATGAATAATGTTGTCCTGGATGCTCTTCTTGATGACATACTCTCTTCAGAAGAATGATGCAACAGATGTTGATTCAAGTGATCTCACAACAGCACAAGCTATTAAACAAGGACAAAAGTCACATTTAGTTGTAAAAATGCCAAGAAGCAAAGCTCGGCTTGTGTGCTGCTCTTCTGCTTCATCTTTCACAAACGTAATGAGACCGTGAGGCGTAAACCTGAGGGTCATCCTTAGGCATTCTCAATGAGTTGCTGTTATGTCAACATGGGCAAAGAAACCTTTGGAACTACCTACTCCTAGGGGGATCAATGTCCCATAGATTCCATTGAAAATCTCTGGGAATGGAAAGTGCTTAATCTGAATTTTTTCCTAAAGTTGCAAATCTGTTCCATGTTTGCCTCATTCACACTGAACTCAGGAGTCAGTTGTGTGCATGGTAACTGATATTATGGTGGCATGAATTGTTGATTGTACTGTGAGCCACCCAGAGAGACTTCTGACTATGGGACGGCATACAAATGCAATAAACAAACAAACAAACAATCTTCCTAGGCAACTTTGTTTACATTGAAATCAGGGTAAAACAGCATGTAAAGAAGCCCAGTATGGTACTGAGTTAATTGGGTGGGTGTGGGAACACCATTTAGACAACAATGCTAGTAGTGTGGAAAGGTGAAAGCAATTCATAGGGAGACAAAAGGCCAGAATTAATACACACACACACACACACATCCTACATACACAAACACACACACACACATTCACTTCTGTGGCTGCTCTCTTGCATACAACAAAAAATTCTATTTTTAGACTCCAGTCATTACAGGTAATTAATCTGATTGCAGTTTTGGGACAAAGGGAATTGATGTCATCCTTAGGAGGACACAGTGACATAAAGATGACATCAGACTTTGAGTGAGTCAGATCTTCTCATTTGCACAGTGTCACTGCAGGAAAAAAAATATTTCAAGGAAATGTAACTGGATATAACACTTCAGTGTCAAACTCATGGCTGACCAAGGGGATATGAGGGCCAACTCCCACACTTGAACTTGAAAAGTCTCTAAGCCAACAAAGCGTTGTGTGTTTCTTTCAGTCTTTTATTTGTGACCTTAATAGAACAGGCTCAGATAAAAAGCATGAATGCTGTTGCAACATCCTCTCAGTTATCAGACGCTACCATATTGAAGTACTGTTCATGTCCGGCTGAGACAAGTTAAAACAAACTGGAACAGATTCAGAAGACAGCTAAAAAGATTTAAGAGGCTTAGAAGGAAAATGCTATTTATTATGATTCCATCTATTTATTTTAAACATGAGTCACATTTGGTGCCACAATAGGACCCAAAGTAATGCACAGCATAGTAACAATAAACTCCTTAAAAGCATCGTAAAATACAGTAAAAATATAAAGCAACCCAAACACTAAGCAGAACACACAAAAACAAAGTCTGCCAGATGCATCTGACATTTAAACTCTGAGCTACAGTAAGGACAGAAGTAGCTCAAAGGCCTGGAAGCACCTGTGGCCTCTTCAAGATGACATCAATTCCCTTTGTCCCAAAACTGCAATCAAATTAAGTAGCTGTAATTACTATAAAATACCGTATCTAAAAGGAGGAATTGTTGTGAACTGTCCAGAGAGCTTCAATAATTGGGTGATATATGAAAATAATCAATAAAATTAGAAGTGAATGCCTTCCATAATATAATTTGGAGAGCCGTTGTGATGTTGTGATTGGAATGCTGAACTGTAACCAAGGTTCTAGGCCTAGGTGGCCATGAAGTCCTTGGGGTGACTTTGGACCCGTTGCTGATTCTCAGTGCACCTCAAGGATAAAATGGAGAAAGATAAATCAGGCTCCTGCAGGAAGCGCAGGAAAAAATATCGCAAATAACCATCATGATCATGTTTATTATATAAAATACCTGTACCCAACTTGTCAGACCCCCCCCCCGCAACCATTTTCCCTCTACTCGTGGGGCATCACTTCTGCTATTAGGGCAGCTCGCATTATTATTCAAAACACATGCCAGGTATCTAAGTCAATATCTCTACAAAGACATGGCAAAGTAATCATGGCCCCTAGACAGCATTTAGAAGGCCATAGGATTTTTGGGTTTCCCAGATCCAAGTTTGGAAAAGTGCTCTCTCAATGTATCCTTCTTCCGTCCTGCTCTGAAGTGATGCAGTTAGATGGCTGCAGCTGGTGGTCTAGGTGCTTTACAAGGTAAACTGAGTCGAGAGACAACCTTCACCTCTGTGCTCCTCCCACTCTGCACAGAATGTCTGCAATTCTTCAAGTTTGGAGGCCTCTGTGCATCCTGATTGGACTGTACCTTAAAAGATCTTTTAAAAGATTATTACCTTCTAGACTGCCCTTTATTCCATCTCCAAAGTGGCTGAGTGGTCCTGTTAATTGATCTTCCACTTCACAGTTAGTCTGGCCCTGTACTAGGGTTTAACTAGAGCTGGGATTTCCGGAGCTTAACAAGGCTGCCACAGATACTACTTTTATTAATGCCATTAAGAGCACGAGCTAAAATTAAGTCTTCATGAGTCATATTAGACCTTGCAGACTTGGCGCAGTATGGAACAGTCCATCTACTCCACTTGCCAACATGTTCCAATCTTGGCCCTCACACAGCACTATATTTTTTATTTTAAGAGGTTGAATTCTAAGGATTGCTGTTAACTGACTTTCCTCTTATGGTTCTTTAAATGACCAGGAATTCTAGTCAAGTAACCAATTTCAACTTCGGAGTAATTGCAAAATGCCACCCTGAAGTCAGGCAGGCAGTCAGCCCCTGGATGTTCAGTGACTCTTGTTGCCTTTCTCTCAATGTGTGGATAGATTATGTTTCCTCCCACAATACCCAGCAAATGTTAATATAACAGGAGGCAAAAGGGGTACATTCCTACAAAACTATGGGTTTCAATGCATGTACTCAAATTAATGCATGTACAAACTCAAATTAAAGTTGTTAACTGAGAAAAGCTAGTTGAATTAACCTTAGTTTCATGACAATAACTCCAGAAGTGCAGGCAAGTTGAAAAACTGGTATCTTTCTTCATGGGATTCCCAGAAAAGAGTCATTTTAGAAAATTCTTCCTCCATCATCCTTAGTTAAAGAAGATACATCACCATAGGACTGCCTTAGCCAACTTGGTACCCTTTAGAGGTTTGGGGATTACAACAACCATCATCCCCAGAGATGCCCACAGTCAAGATCTCTGTATGCATGGCTATACAGTTAAATAAGTGGTGTTTGAATGTGACAAATAATAGGTGTGACATAATTAGAGTAAAAACAAAATCTTGCATACACTTAAAAACTAGCCAATTTACTGCAACATATGCTATAAGGGGTCAAAGTGGTCATTATGGCTGGGACTGATGGCAGTTGTAATTCAAAACATCTGGAGAGCACCAGGTTGGGCAATACTGCCATAGGATATAATACACATCTGTTTCTTTGTGTCCATTTGGAGGAATGTAGTAATCCACCTATGTGGTTAGGACACATCAAAACTATCTTTACTTGTTGTATTATTATTATTATTATTATTATTATTATAGTACTATGAAAATATTTTCTCCACCCATTTTTCCCCCATTAGGAAAAAATCCAAAATAAAACCTTAGGTGAGAAATGAGGCACTGTGGAATGCCTAGATGTAAAAATAAGCAGGCTTGACTGGTTATGCCTCTTAGCCGTGTTAGCAATGTTCCCTTCCTGTAATGGATTGTTTTCAAAGCATCAAAGGAATCCAGCTCTTCTGGATGTGTGTTGCTAATCTACATACAGCAAGCTAACCAGGCAAGCTGGGAAGCATCTCCTGAATTTGTACCACAGACTTATAATGTCTGTAATGACCTCAAAATGTTGTCAAGCATCCTGGCCACAGAACTTTCATTTTATGAATAATATCTGCCTTATGACTGAAATGAAATTGATCCATATCTGTCTATTGATCTTGGCATGTTTGCTTATTAATCTGGGTACTTTAAGAATTATTCTGAATCAAGTCTACATGGTGATGTTTATAGCTATTCTCTCTAAATAGCCAATCTCCACACTTTTGTTCTCTAGGCATGTGTATCCCATTGCAGTCTCCCTCACCCCCAATAGCTAAGGACTAAAGACTAGACTAAATGTAAAAATGCTTAACAGCTCTAAAATTAAATTAATATAAATTGTTGACGGTATTATTTTTATCTTTATTTACACTTTATACCACCCAACAGCCAAAGCTCTTTGGATGATTCACAAAACAAAAGTAAATGCTTTAATAATAGCATATAGCTAACATTCTCTCTCTCTCCCCCCCCCCCCGCCTTTCTCTTATATGCGCGCGCGCACACACACACACACACACTGACACACCCAGAAGGAGAGGGAGAGGGAGAGACAGACAAATAGGTCTTTCTTCGCAAGCAAGCCGTCCCAATCTGTTGCTTTCCCTCCCTTAGCAAACTGGCCAACCCTTATACATAAAGCACCTCATGGTAAAGGAGGCTTTAGTGTGAAATGTACACGTTGCTGAGCGCCTTGGGCATGTACATTTCCCCTTTTCACGGCTGAAAGGGGGACTTCGGAGGCATTTGGAGACATTCCATTGTTAGTTAACCATCATTGAACCAAGAATTGTACTGTAACCGTCACCATTGTGACCTGACAAACTGGCCGACTACAACTGAACATAAAATCTTCCAACGCTTCCAGAAAGGAGAAGGATGTGTGAGAGCCCAGGGCTCACTGGGACTTGTTTGTGCTTGTCATGCTAAACCATGGCTTCACACAGGACTGGGAATCTGCTGGCCTCCAGATGTTGTCCATTGCAAGAATAGCTACGCTCTGTTTCAGTCAAATGAAATACAGATGACTGGCAGCAGTGCCTTGTGGGATAAGAAAAAAAGGTGAATATCTTTAAGAAAAGGCAAAGTGACTGCCATCCATTTTCTGCAAATGTCCTTGATGCTTAGACAGTAGGGCTCCATGTACTGCTAACCTTTTCAATATAATAAAACTTAGTAGTGCCTCCTAAGTACCTAAGGTTTTGTTTGGAACCAGCATTTCAAATGTTCTGCAAGTTTACTAAGTTTCACTGACATTCAAGCTTTATGGGGAACATCTGAGAGCTATATTCTATGAAAGAATAATAGTAGTTGTACTGTTGCCTAAAATTACATGTGATAACCCGATTGTGTAACTGCTCTGCTTATGGAAAGTCAGCCTCTTCCACGAGTCACAAAACTGAGAAAAGAACCTAAGGTTGGGCTAATTTTCTTCTGTATAATATACCTACTCTTCGCTATTACACTCAATGAGCATTTCGGGTTTTTTGGCACTGAGGTTTGATTGCAGACCTCAGTGAGTCAGACTTCAAATTACATGTTGAGGTTATATGAAGTAGGGCATTATGACTCTTTGGCATCATCCAAATGATTGCTTCAAGGACTTTACTCCTGCCGTATGTGAATATTTACAATGTAATTATTCTCTTCTTTACCGTGATCACTATGTGTAACTATACAGCATGCAAATATATATTCTTAACACTTGATGTATGTGTATTTTAATTAGATGGTACTACTGCTAACACATTTAAAAGCAACATAGATTTTTTACAAACCTGCAAAATCCATTTATAATATCAGAGTCGGTATAATTTGTTCATCATCCAGTCCTCTGCTGGAAAGTTACTTAGAGCCTGATAGCTCATGTGTATATTTTTAGCAATGTCATTGGGAAACGGTGACAATATGTTATGAAATAGAACTTACATATGAAGCTGCCTTATACAGAATCAGACTGCTTGTCTCTCTGGATTAAGGTTGTCTTCTCTGACTGACAGCAGTTATTCAAACAATTACTTTTCCAGCCCTGCCAATGAAGACACTTTTAGTTTTTAAGCAACTTTAAAACAGGAAATAAGTGGCAAATCTGTTAAATATATGTCTAGTGGCTATGGCTTTTCATTTTTACTCAACAGTAGATAGAGCAAAGCCAACCTGAACTTTAAAAGATCACTCACACAAACACATCCTGATCAAGACTGAGGGCCCAGTGCCAACTCTACTTCCTTTCTAATAATGGAAAACAAACACAAAGCTGCCACACTGGGGTAAGAAAACTGTGGCCCACCAGAATTTTTAGCCTATGTTTGTTTTGGCCCATCCTTTGGTATGCTATGCATGGGCTTTCCCATTTCACCAAGTATTCCCAATCCATTTGTGTTCTAGAAAGGACATGTAATATCCAAAACCATTTCTGAAGGTTAGCAATCTACATCCTGATTGTCTAGTTGAAGACCCACAGAATTCAAAGGAACATTTTCCCAAGTAAGCTTTTCAATTGTGAAGCAGAATCCTACATAAAAGTTAAATCTCACTGCACTTAGTGGGTCTTATTGTACAGTACCTGGGTTTAGGATTGCAAACTTAACTTGGAAGTGCCCTTTCTAAAGGATGTATAGCATTCAAATGCATTCTGCATGTAGTGAATAGTTTTACATCATTAAAAAGTTTATTTCAAAAAATCAGCCAAAAATGGGTTCTAGCCACTCCTTCCAGATGAAGGAACAAGTAATAGTTTACCTTGAAAAAATGCTAACACCAATGAAGCACTCTGGTTTCAATCAGGTATTCTGGTATAAGGATTTTAATATTTCCAGTAAGTACCACCCAAATACACAAACATGCACACAGCAACACATGTCTGAACATTTTACTCCTCTATATTTGGGGCAGGCAACTTGTGTGGCTGAAGGCTGCATGTGACATTAGGTGGGTGTTGCAAGCATATGCACGCTGCCACATCTCCCCCCCCCCACACACACACACACCTCCTCCCCAGATCTAGATCACTGGGTAGAAAGACTTATATCTTGCCCTTCTCACTGTTATCTCAATGCAAGTTGAGGGTGAAGGCGATGTTAAAGCACTTTGATGGGAACATACATGTGCAGGGATTACTCTCCTTGCACCTGCTGTTTTCTGGCACTGGGAATCAGACCATGCAACATAAGTTATCCCTGCATACCTGTCCTCCAACAGTAAGACAAGTCAGTTAAATTCTTAAGGTGTGTGTCTGTGTGTGTTTTATAAGCAACCTGCTGATTTCAGTTCAGTCAATGTTAATAAGAGAATTAACATAAATCTTTACTTACAGCTCTTGAAATGGTTTATTGCTGGTTAGGAAATGGACTCTTACTCTCTTGCAATCTAGACTGGTCCAGTGCTGCTAGTCTTCATTGGAAATGTACATCACCTTGAGTAGATCACAATAGTGATCATATCAATACCTACTATGATTGCATCTTAGCAGGAAAGTGGAAAATGTAGTGACTTGCTGCAAAAGGATCAATGAAATAAAGCCTTGGACATCTAGAGCCCTGGATGTCAGTACCAGGTGTTTCAAAATGCAATCAAGGGAAATAGTTCTGAAATTCTTTTTTCAACTGCAATTATGGTTTTTTCTTATGTTGTTTTAATTTATTTAACGTTCATTTACTGTTTTCTCATCATCTACAGAGTTGCCACTCCATTTGGTGGTTTTGAGAGAGCATCAAAACTGGTTAAGTTCAAGGTACCAGATTTCAACCTTCTGCTGCTAAATGATCCACGATTCATGGTCCTTGCCAATCCTCTTTCAACCAGGCGGTCCTTCAACAGGACTCCTAAAGGATGGACTTCTGAGAATATTCCCATTATGATAACTATACAGCCTACAGAGGCCAATGGTATTCCAGAAACCGATGACCTGTGAAAAGAAAGTGGAGCATGCTTCACAAATCAGAATCTATATGTTGGTATTCTGATAGTTTAACATGTGCTACTTCTGTTCCAACATCCTATCTTATGTAGCTGAAATATAACATCTAATACTGTAACTTTTTTCTGGAGTTTTAATTTTCTCCTACATATCTAACACAAATAAAATAACTTGTCCATTACTCAAAAAAAAATCCCTGGTTTTGATGTTTCTGTTTCTTTACTTTCTAGCTCCCCTTTACTCTATGAATAAAAAGAAAGTTGGGCAGGACAATTCATTGTGGCTGCGAGTAACCCTCTGAACTCAAAGGATTACAGGCATCCTGTGGAGGAGGAAGGAGTACAGATCCAAAAGTCATCCCTGTGCTCCTTCTGCCCTAAAAACATGTAGTCACTAAGTGTTTTGCCCTGGAGAAGGAAAGGCGCCCGAGATGCTGCTAGGATACCATACATCCTGGCTGAGCCTGTCTTCTCCCCACCCTGCTCCCTGGAATGGCCTCAGAACAGTCTCTGAAGTGGTTCTTGTGATGTTGAAGCCACAAGCACTGTAGTTCTTTCCATGCTGGCCATGAGTTTGGAAGAAGGCTTCTCCAACCTTGGAGTCGCCGCTTTCACTTCAAAGTGAGTTTCTGATGTCAGAGCTGGGACTCCAAACTCTGCTTGGGTCATCCAAATAACATCTAGTGGCTGTAGGACTGCACACCAATTGATTTTGCATTGTCACATCTTCATAATAAGATGGGAGAGAATAATAAAAACTACTCTACTATTACTAATTTGTTTATTAATTCTGGTCTGGGCAGACACATTTAGAGTTGACACCAGAAACATGAAAGAAACATCTTGAGTAAAAATAGTACGCAAGTTTTTACTTCTGCTGTGAAAATCACCTTATTGTTAACAGTTATCCTGTATGTTGAATATTTATACACAAATATAACAAGGTATATGATACAAGCATTTTGTCTGAGAAACTCCTCCAAGCTGATAGAGTAGAAAACATCAGAATGCTGTGAACAGTACATGAATAAACTCAAATATTGCATGAAAGCATCAAATCACACTTAAAGATTAAAAAATGGTTCAAAGTTAAGAATACACATTGCTTTGCCAGAGTGTAACAATTTCTCCATAAACAAAAAATTAATTTAAGGCAGAGTCCTATACATATTTAAATAAAAAGAATCCTACAATTCCCAGTATGGCTGGCTGGAGAAAGCTGGGAGTTGTAGGCCCTTTGCCATCTAAATATGTATAGCATTGTGTCCTTAATCTTATAAAATGTTATACTTCTCTCAAAAAAAAAATCTTTGCATGTTGTGTTTGCTAAAAAAGTTTAAGGAAGTTATATTTTTACTGCAGGAATATCAATTTTATTCACCAATATTGAATGTTAGTTTTTATGATAACTGCTTGTGCACATAATTTGAATCTTGAAAGAGTATTTTAGCACACAATTTCTCATCAGTAATCTCATCATGCATGATCCAGATCAAACTGGATCATGCATGATATTTTGAAGACATTTACAGACACCATGATCACGTTTTCTAAGATCGATGCCACTTGAACTAATGCTTCTTGTGAATGTACAGATCTGTCAAGAGCCATGTATGCATGGCTATATAGTCAATGAGTGATGTCTGAATGTGATAAATGATAGGTGTGTCATAATTAGAGTAAAAACAAAGTCTTGCAGACACTTGAAAACTAGTAAATTTATTGTGACATATGGTATCAAGGGCCAGAGCCTAATTCAGCAAACACATGCTCACCTAGGACAGCATGACAGAGAATGTGGTAGAATTCTTGCAAATGAGAAAGAATATGAAATAAATGTTTTGAAAGAGAAAGAATGTGGCATATATGAAGACCAATTGAAATTTATGGGACTGAAGATTACCTTTCTCCTTTTTTACTGAAATTGATAGTATTGACCACATTAGAATTTTTCTACAGCATGAAATGAAATAGTACATCATATTTCTTAGAATTCAACTTCTAATTTATTTTGAAGGAGTGAGGCACATCTGACTTCATGTTTGGAGGGTTCTTGAGCTTGGCTTAAAGTATTTAGGAATCAAAGTGTATCCTTTGATGGAGGAGGGGAGCAGAGCAAGCAAGCAGAGAACTTATCCAGCTCATGTACCATCACAATCAATGCTGTGGCACAGAGTTCAGCCATGTCAGGTAACTGGCCTACTTTTTCTGAGGGTTCATTATCTACTCATTGCATCTCCTGTTTGCAAGGAGTTGACTGGAGCCCCTCTATTGATTCCAAGTTAATTTGTTGATCCTTCTCTAGGGAAGAATTCACTCTGTTTCTTTTACTGTTGTTTGTCCCTTGGTGCTGCTTCCCTGGACCAAGGTATCCAAGATGTTTCCTGTGACCTTCTGAACCTGTTTGCTTCCAAATCTACTCCAGTCAGATTTCTGCTGAGATTTCATGAAAAGAATCCTTTTCCATCCCAGCCTTTAGAGACTGATTTCCCATACAGCTTCTGCCCTGACTATGATTCTTCTTTCCTTCTCTGTATCTTGATCTGAATCAAACCACTGCATTTCTCTGGTTTGTTCCATTGTCATTCTCTTAAACATGGAAAACTTGCGGCTCCATCAGTCTTAGCCAGCACAGTCAATGGTGAAACCAGGCAGTGGTTGTAGGTGAAATTTTAAGGGCCACAGAAGTTGTTCATGCCTGACCTATCTCCTCCTGACAAAGATACAAGTAAGATTGGCCATACAATTTTAAGGAGATTACAACAGGATCTTAGATGTGCAGTCTAAACCAATGCGCATTTACTCAGAAATAAATTCCATTAAGTTTAATGGGGCTAACTTCCATGTATGTAAAAACTGCATTCTTTGGCAGAATATTGGGGAAACAATCTTATGCACACTTTTCTGCTCATAAACCTGATTGAACTCAGTGGGAGTTGGTTCAAAATAAACATGCCTAGATTTGGCTATGTTGGTTTTTGCAAAAGATATACAATAGAGGACATTTTGGAAGCAGAATTTCATACTAAGTTAAAAAAATATATGTTTTAAGAGAAAAAGGGTAAGATATATTTTGCTGATAAAGCAAAGACTAGAACATATAAAATACTGATTTTAGAGAGATCTTCAACTTGAGCTCAATGGGGTATATCTCTTGAGCAGACATGGATTGGATCAGGTTGTTAATATGCCCTTATGTATGCCACAAAATCTTGAGCATGGACATAATGCAAAAGGATCTTAGTTTAATTAGAAGTGGGCCATCTTACATTCCAAGCAAAGCAAAATCATTTTGGTGATGTGTTGTTTCAATTAAATTACACATTATCTGGATATTGTACAAAATGGTGGCCAATACTACTATTCTGAAATCATAGTAATTTGGTCTCTCAAGAGGTACGCAAAAAGGCAGGATTCATAGTACGCACTGCTTGTATAAGGTGGTGTGTGATGGGATTACCTGCACTTTTTGCATGTTAAAATCAGTGTTACTATATATTTCACAAATTCCAAGTGCACTTTTCTCATGTTCTAATTATTTCTGTTTAACTATTTCCTCTAGGCTGTGTGATTACAAAAATAAATCAAATTCCTTTTAATGTGCACTTTCTTTCATTCATGTTTGCTAAAACCAACTCAAGTTATATATTTGGTCAGGTACTTACAAACACTACAGAGCTGAAAGAGGGACAAAAGTGAAAAGTACAGGCGCCGGTTTCCCCTTCCCTGACTCAGAAAATTCTTTAGAATGATCAGATTTTGAACCCAGAGAAAACCCAGCTGCCTGATAAAACTGCTGGCAAATGGAGCCATTGCTCCAAGAGCAATGAATAGGTAGTTCATGAAGCCACTCATATGGAAGCAAGCTTAATATTGCAGATATTTTAGAATAATGCCTTTGAACTACCTACCAAATTATAAGACAGTGAAAGGGAGTGAAGAGATTCTTTCTCATTAGTTGTTTAAGAAGATTTTGCCTCTCAGAGGCTGTAACAATTCGGTTTCTTAGAATTTCTCACTCCTTTCATATGCTTGCCTTCAGCATCAAGATCATAGCTTTTTAAAAACATATTTTCTCATTACAGCTCTACTGGGAAATTGGTTTAATGCCTGTGTATTAAGCAGGATGTATAATCAGGATCAGATAAGACCCCCACCCCCCGCCAACAATTTAGAGATTTCCTTAACATGAATTTTGCTGATATTTCTTCCTTGTGCCTATTATTTATTCTTTCCAAATTCTTGCTGACTGGGCTTTTCCTCTTGCTGTGCTCCCCATTATGTGATAGCACTTTTACCTCCCAGCTTATTTAGTACATTTCTTTGGAACCATTTTTTCCTGTGTTCCCTCCACTTCTTTTGAGCTTAGCTGCAGGCACAGTTGTAAATACTTTAAACATTCATTCTTGGGTTTTTTCCTTCCTGTGCATTTCCCAGTACCCAAAGCAGCAGCAGACACATAATAAGCCCTGCTACCATTATTTCAATCCCTGCTGATTTTACCTTTAACTTTTCTAAATCTTTTTTAAAAATCTTTTATATGGCCTCTAAAACCCTCAGACATATATCTGTCAGAAAAAAAACCCTTTTAAAAGTCATCTAATATTTGAAATAATGGAAATTTATTCCAGACTACTAAAAAAATTGGGTTTGGAACAACAGCAGTCTGCATGTCTGAATAACAAGGGAAAATGGGAAAGAGCAGCATATTTCTTACAGATTATCTATTTCCTCAGTAACTTAACGCAGAAAAATAAGGCTCTCACAATTAATGGAGCATTTGTTTCTAAAGTTCCTAACATCCTCTACTGTGTAAAATACAGGAAACTTTCTGCATGTTGTAACAATGCATGATATAGAGAAAGCATGTTCCTAACAAAATATAAAAAGTATAAGAACTGATCTTTTCATGCCTTTCCACATTCATACAAATCAGCTGATACGGTCCAGATATTTCTCTTAGGATACTGGCTAACAGGCTTGAAATACGGAATAATGGAAGAAAGCCAGAATGTGCTGCCCTGGAGAGTTCACTTCTTGGTGCAGATGTCATATTGCTTCGGCTGGCTGAGTCACAGAACTGAGCTTTTTACATTGCATAGTAAATTTATTTGCAAGGCTGTTCACCATCCAGGCAGAGTAAGAGGGAAAAAAAATAAAATACAAAGACTTCATATACTTCCACTGAATTTGT